GCAGGGCTGAGGGAAGCAGGACTTGTCACAGTCCTGGCACCTTTTTTTCTTGCTGTCTCAGCCAATTTCTTCTCATCCTCCTTCTCAAATTTCTCCATGAATATACATAATTTTTTACAAACTGATTGACTATGTAGTTTCTACAGCACATTGGCTCAGATTTATTTAAATATGTATTGTCAGGGAAAAGGAGAATAGATGTATTTTGGGAGGGAGGGAGTGCTGAGTCAGACTAGGCATCTTCCCATTGCCTATTTCATGCTTCTTTTTTCTTGTGAGACAAATCTTCAGTTATTTTAATGGGAGATGAACAAGCATGGCCTCTGCTGTTTTGTTTGATGGATTGCTGTTATTATCATTGCTGAGCGGAGACAGTGTGATGAAGAGCACGCCGTGGGAGTGTTCATAACGCCTGCTTGTACTCCGGGTGTTGGTGTGGGGATACTGCCTGCATCTTTTTACGCTTATCTTGTATGCCCTTTGATAGACGATAAGGTAGTCAAATAGGACAAAATTGGTTTTGTTTCTCAGCTCAGAGATCACTTTAATATCCAGTCTCCACAGTTTTGGCAAGCACCTACATTTGTTTTGATTTCCAATTGATTTGCTGAGTCTCTTTTTTTTGTGGGGGGGAGGGGACTGAATTTGGTTTGTAATGAGATAAAATAAGAAACAGAATGAATTTAAAGACCGAGAAATTATTTTGTGATTCTTGTCTCAGATTAAATTTCCCCTTAAAAATTTGAACTTGTAAATGTAAGGAATATTAATATCTTTTTGATTTAATTGTTCTTCCTTACCCAAATTATTTTCACTAGAAAAAATTTCATTTCTTTTGAGAAATAAACAATACAATGAATCTACAGTATCTTGCTACTGTAGGCGATCTCAGAGGTCCCCTTTGATGGCCAAAAGAAAGAACACCTAACAGAACGTTCCTCAAACCAAGTCAGTAGTCTTTTATCACACAGCTGCGCTTCACCAGGTTCATCTTTATCCCTGGCTCCTTCGCTCTATCAACAAGGCAAAAGTACTGCTTTGAGTACATAGCACCCTAGGTATACACAGGGGCAGTGGGGGAGGGTGCAGAAAGCATAACAGAAAGCCAACCAACGCCATGTTATAAATTTTATACGACATCCCCATGACGACTGTTTGTAGGCGCAGTCTAGTCAGAAGAGTGCAGTCATGGCTGTCTGAAGGAGCCCAGGGCACGTTAGTATTGATCAATCAGTCATGGCCGTCCTGAGGGACCCAGAGCACGTTAGTATTGATAAATGGGAGAGATGAGTCCTGAGAAAGAACACTCAAGCTAAAATCCCCTCATTATGCAAACACTGACCTTCAGTTAAAGCACTCTGCTGACGATGGGGCATTACTGGGTTTTCTCACTTTCTTCCTCGGCCTGAAAGTAGTACCTGGGAATACTGTTTTTGTGTGTTCCTTATTTTGAAGTTCCCTGAAGTTGCGTAAGGTTCGCATAGCTCAATGGCAACATGACGGCATCTTTAACTAGAAAGACTGCTTCTTAGAGAAGAGAAAGTGTAGGGCATAAAGAACATTCTGAAATTCAGTGAAACGTTTGGTAAATAGCTTATAGTAATTGATTTATAGAGAAAATGCATTGTTTAGAGTCCTGGATTGGGTGGGATTTTTGTTTTAAACACAGAGAAGAAACCAAAAAAATTGGCCAAGGCACAGAAAAGATCACATGACAAAATAGATTTTTAACATAAAGCTTATCAAAACTGTGTTGAAAAGAATTTGGTTTCTATCTTATAAGAGTGGGGCCATGAGCAGACTTTGGCTGTGTTTAAACTGATGGTGGGGGCTGGTGAGATGGCTCAGTGGGTGAAGGAGCTTGCTGCCAGGCCTGGCGACCTGAGTTCCATGCCTGGGTCCACATAGCTGAAGGCGAGAATAGACTCTCAAGAATTGTCCTCTGACTTCTGCATGTGTGTCATTTCACATGTGTGCCTACACACGTACAAAGAAAACAAAGGGATCAATAGCAAACATAAGCAAAAAAATTAAAACAGATAAACCGATGAGTAGAGCTGGTTCATCCCCAGGACTCTAAAATTGCATGTTCTCTGTGGCCCAGCTCAGACTCCTCCACTCTTCTATGTTATGTGAACCCCTCAGTCACTCTCAGTGAGCATTAAAGCATTCACTGCATGCTCCTCTTACCTCCAGCATGCACCCCGCTTTCCACGGAAGGACAACAGACAGTGGAGTCAAGTCCCTGTTCCAGATAGCTTTCTGAGGCCCAGTTTACCCACTCAATAATGGGAACGGAGCAGGAACTCCTGTTACTGATTCGAGAGTTCAGTTGGAAGGCATACCATACCTGGGGCCAAGCACACACTTGGTAAATGTCAATGCCCTTCCCATTTCTGATTTTCATGTCTACTTTTCCCTGTAACCTTTACATTCCCCCAGGGAAGGAAATATATTTTATACTCATAGCACCTTGACGAGCGTAGGCGTTAAGTGGTTTTTGTTAGGTTTAACTTCCTGTCCTTCTATGGAAGCATTTCAGTTTTCTTTCACCTTGGATTGAGATCAACATGTTGCCTTTATGAAATGGAGGCAATAATTCAGTAGAACCCCCTTCAATTGCGACTTGCTCCTTAGAGTTTGATACACCAAGGATCAAATCACATCCCGGGGAACTTAATTATACCCTACAAAACCTTACAAGCCTGTCTTGTGACATCACAGTAGGGGATTCTGATGTGTTTAAATAGTGATCTCTATCTGTAGAAACCTAGGTGACGGTATAAGAAGATGAAGGAAATAAATGACAGAAAGTGAGCAAATGAGAATTATGTCACTACATTTCAATTACTAACCCTCCAAAGTATGTTCTGATTTACTAAAACACCAAGAATTCATTTTTTTATGGGTCCCAATTCTTATTAATAGTGGGAAGCACCCTGATCTACCACAATTTGTCCCGTTTACCCAGCGCGTGACTTGAGAATGGACAGGAGCATTCCAGTTCAGCAGAAATGATTTTGGTTACAGAGCAAAGATGAACATACCACATATGCTTCCGTCGTCAACGTGTTAGTGCGCTTCCCTTCCTGAAATACAAGCGCCGAGAAATCTTCCTTTCTGATGCTCACGGGTGACTGATTCTTTGCATGTATCCTACAGACACAAGCCAAGTCTCACAACACAACGAACATATCCAAGCATATGTTCGTTTGTTTGCATGATTGACATGTGAGAACTGGTTGAAAAATGGTTTTTCTGGCATATATTAATGATGGGTTTCACTATGACATTTTTATCCACATATCTAATGTATTTGGTGATTCTTACCTCCCCACCATGACTCTCTTTTTCCCCCAGTCCCTCCCTCTGTTCCCCTTCTTCCTCTCAGGCAGAGAATCTCTCTCTTTCCACACCCTTCTGTGTGTGTGTGTGTGTGTGTGTGTGTCTCCATCCTTCTCTGGAGTCATGCACCTTTCTGCACATGGATGTAGAGGTCAGCATCAGACATCTTCCTTAGTCACTCTCTACCTTATTTAAAAAAATTAAAACTCATTTAATTAAAAATTATATTTACATCATTTACCCATTTCTCTTCCTCTCTTCAACCCTTCCCATGTACCCCTCTATTGCTCTTATTAAAATCATGGACTCCTTTTCTTTGTTACACACACACACACACACACACACACACACACACACACACACTCTTCCCCGGGGTCGTCTATTTCTCCAACTCTCAGCATTTTTCAGTTGCCTGTAGTTCTTTGTCTAGGGTTGAGGCCTCCTGAGTTCTCCCTCTCACGTTAATGTGTCTAATGTCATCCTGGTTCAGGTCGTGTTTAGGCGGACATGTTAGTGAGACTTTATAGGTGTAGCTTCTCTGACGTTTCTAGCTGTCACAATTTCACAACACACTCTTCCTCTGGCTCTTGTAATCTTTTCCCTGCCCCCTTATTTGGCAATGATCTCGGAGCCTGAGGTGTTATAGATGTATTATCTGGGACTGGGCATCACATGGGACTGGGCATCCCATGGGCCTAGGCATCCCATGGGACTGGGCGTCACAAGGGACTGAGCATCCCAAAGGACTGAGCATCACAAGGGACTGAGCACCACAAGGGACTGGGCACCACATGGGACTGGGCACCACATGGGACTGGGCACCACATGAGACTGGGTACCACAAGGGATTGAGCACCACAAGGGACTGAGCATCACAAGGGACTGGGCATCACATGGGACTGGGCACCACACGGGACTGGGCACCACACGGAACTGGGCACCACACGGGACTGGGCACCACACGGGACTGGGCATCACATGGGACTGGGCATCACATGATACTGGAATCACAGCTCTACATTCTGATCAGTTGTAGTTTTCCATAATGATCTTCATCTGCTGCAAAGAGAAGTTTCCTTGAGGAGGGGTGAGAGCTACACTTAGCTGTGGGTCTAAGGACAGACAGTCAGAATGTAATTAGGCATTATGCTGACTTAGTAAAGTGGTAGTCGAGCTTGCCAGTTGGCTAGGCTGGCTGTTGGGCTTAGACGATGGTCCTGTCTATGCCTTCCCGGTGCTGGGATTACAACGTGGATGGTGGGATCCAACCGCAGGTCCTCAGGCTTCCACAGCACGCACATCACCGACTGAAACATCTTCCAGCCCTGAGAGCCTTATAATATTACTTTGTTAGACTTAAAATTACACATTAAGTCTCACTTTCTTCAAGGTACCCTGAAGCATGGAAGCTCTGACTCTGGATGACATATGCTCATTGAGAACCAAATTACATTCATATGTAATGCTGGTTGCACAATGCAGTTTCTACCTCTTCATAATCATCCCTAATCAGTCCACTGAAGGATAATTAGCTAGCATTTGTTGTCTCTGAATTATAGTGGGTAAAACTGAAGTGCGTTGTTGACTCTGTTAGCTAGCTAGGAATTTGAGAAGAATCTGTCACTATTATAATCTGCCTTTCCTTTCATTTGCAGTTTCAAAGAACATTTGAGTCTCTTAAAAATGTTTCCAACAAATCTGACCTCCAGAAGACCTACCAGAAGCTCGGGAAGGAGCTGGAAAACCTGGATTATTTAGCCTTCAAACGTCAGCAGGTAGGATGCGGGAATCTCCTTCAGTGGAGAAGGTGAACAATTCTGGCTTCCTACTGTCCCACCTGCCAGAGGTGCAGGCAGGTCAGGGAGACTCATCTGCCAATGATCCGGGTAGAAACAGCTTGTGCGCATCTCTCTGTGTTCCTCTGGCTACCTACAGTGTGCACTGTGGTCCTGGCTCTTAGATGGGCACTTTAGGGGTTTCTGCACATGTCCTTTTCTTTCTTCGAAAGAAGATTCCTGCGGCTTTGTGAAGGTCTAACGACCCTTTGGTAATGACATCTCAGCAGCACAAAGGGGATTTCTATGATGGCTTGGCCACATGACTTCTGGATTTGGCAGGGCATATCCATCTGGGATCAACCCCAAAGACTAGGAAAAGGGTTTGGATGAGCATACAGAGTAGGAAAGAGAGAAAAAAAATTTCAACAATAACAATTGACCTCTTTTTTTTTTTTTTTTAAATGTTTGAAGATGAGTAAAACCTTGGCCCACTTGAAAAGTTTCAAGATAATCCCAGAGACAAATTAAATCTTCATAAGTTTGCTTTCAGAATTGGTATTCTACACACCTGATTCACAGTGATACATTCCACGCGTGGCAGGGATAGACACTGCCGCAGGAGCCGGCGCTTCTCTTCAGGCTATTGTTGGCTGCAGCTTCTGAATGGCCACTAGGTGTCAGGGTCGTCAAGCTTTTACTTGGTTGCCAGGCTTATTTGGATTCGGGCAGACATTAGCTGTTTAAATTAGGTTGCCTGAACATTAGAAACAAGCTTAGTGATAGCTGGTGTCTAGAATCGCGGCTAAATGGATGACCTGGCATTTAAGAATCTCCTACATCGGCGTGTCTGTCTCGTGTTTCCTGATTCACAAGTTTTGGGCCTTTTGTGTGTGGATTTACAAAGCAGTATTTTTGTTAAACGACATCAAGTCCATGAGTTCCTGCTCTGTCATAGATGTAAATCAGTTCCTCTTCAAACTTGGGTATTTAACCTTTCTGCAGCCTTATGGCTTTAAGGGTCATATTTGTTTATGGATTGTTCTAGACTAGGGCAAACGGTTTATCTTGACACATACTTTAGATGGAAGAAGAACATGCTGTTCATTCAAGTGGGTGTTAGCAGACGTAACATATGTGTCAGTGTTCCCCAGAGCTACCGCAGTGAATTCCCAGACGCGGCTGTTCAGCATTCACAGCGCAGAGCCATGCTCTGGACAGTACAGCTCCTATTCCAGTTTTGTTTCCAAGATCATATTTTACCACCAGGGGCTGTTTGAATTGGCAGGCAATAGTCAGTCCCCTCGCGCCTGATCCCTTCTTGTCAGCACGTTTCCCGTGATTAGATCCTTACATTAGCTAATTGTAAACTTGGAAGAAAGTAAGCGCTTCAAGGGCGGAAGGGCGGAGCTCTGAGAGGACGATACTGAGGACAGGCGTGTGTGAGGAGAGGGCACAATGGCCAGGCGGAATGCCTGTGAATGCGCGTACTCATCTATGCCCCTGCCTCAGCCAATGAGTGAAGTCACTAAATGTCGTGGCAATTCAGTAGAATCAGTTTTATTAGTATCGTTTGTAGCTGAGAATACCACATAGATGCGGAACCCTTCTAAGATGCTTGTGCAGGTCTGGCTCGCCTCCAGACCTGGAGTCAGCATTGCCTGGCTGGGCAGAGCTTAAAGGGTCTGCTCTTTGATTTGGAGGGGATTTGTCTTTATCTTCCATCCTGTTCCTTTAAAGTTCAAAAAAAAAATCTATTAAGCACATAGTGAAAAGTACATTTTTGTTCTTTTTCTTCTTCCTGGGAAAGATTCAGATCTCTGTAAAATTGCTAATTCAGCAGGACAACTTCCTTGTTACAGAAGCTGGGCTCTGCCTCCGGAGGCTTTGTGGTGACTACACTTCTGGTCCCAGGGCACTCACTGTCTTTGTAGTAGCACAGTGTAAGCCGCGGGAGGACAGGGTCCGTGGCTGTCTCCATCTGTGCCCCCTGCCCAGGCGCACAGTATCTCACCATGGCACCACTCAGGAGGTATCGTGCCGCCATTGTCACCGCGAGCAAAGAAACATGCCCATAGTCTCGGCCTCAGCCTGTAGGCCAGTAAAACTAATGTGTTGTCTAACTTTGAAATGCAGGTAGGCATTAGTCCTTACCTCTTCCTGTGAAAATGCTAACTGATTCCCTTTTGCCCAATTTGAAGTGTTTTCATAATTTATTTCATTCCTGTATCCACTTTGGGAAAAAAGAAGATACTAATATCACGCAAGTTCTTCAGTTCTGGCTGGCCAGCTCACCAACTGTAATAATTCTTATGGCTTCATTCACTAATTTTTCTTTTATTTCCCATGAAATATTTGCATGTATTAACTCTCTCGATATATCTCTCACAGAGATTTTGTTATAAATATACATATTTCTTTAGAAAATTTGAATGCCATAGGTTTATTCTGCTTGAACACAAGGACTATATTTTAATATCCTTTTTTTGAGAGATTTCTTTCTGAGTAGTAGGTAGACCCTTATTGTACTTTGCTTTATTTCTTTTAAAATCATTCCTAAAACAATCATGGAGGAAGGGAGAGGATAGAGAGATTGAACATGTTTACGCATGTGCATTCTATGGTATGTGTGAGGACAGAGGACAACTTGTGGGAATTGGGCCTCTCCTCTCACCATGTGGGGTCCTGGGATATGGTTTACATCAAGAGCCTTTGCCTGCTGAGCCGGCTCCCTGGCCATTCCATCTCCTTCTCGCTTACCTTTTTTGAGGAGTTATTGCATGCTGTGTCCTAAACACGGGTGGGCTGTTGTTGTGGTAGATGAGGGGCAGGCACACCAAGATGAAGGGAGCAGATGACACACAACATTAGCCTGAAGGTTTGGAGGCTCATTTCTTGGTCTCTGGGACAAAATCTGGTCATCTACCTGTTTTGATTTCATCCTATTCGTCAATGCTACACGGGCATGGTGACAGCAGTGCCAGCTACTGCATAGATCCCAGACTTATGCATTCATTTGAGCAGTTATAAATCAAGACATTTTCTTGGGGCTTTGGTTTTTATGAATAAAATAACGTTTGCTAATCTAGACTGTAATCTAATTCCTTCCTCTCTTCTACCCTTAATGCTTACAATAGCATTGTGAAACACATCCTATTTCCACAGGCTTCCAAGACCTTTGTTACAAATTAAAATTGACACTATCGAATTGAGCACTGGGTGCACTAAAACACGCTGTATGCCAGTGCAAATATATTTGAAATGAAAACACTTCAGACATGTGCCCAGGTTGGAACACCCCACACGCCGTTGACTCTTGTCTTTCTGATCATGCTTGCTATTCTCGCCTTCTGACCTCCACACAAGGTTTATGGAACTTGGTATTTAGATTACCTAACCCTTTTCTATTTACTTATTTAACTCTAACTCATTCTTTAAAGCTACACTGAAGCCTTGCCTTCCTCATGGCACCTCATCCAACGTCCTCTGGTCAATATGTAACCTTCATTCTGAGCTTTTGCCAGTGAAAATCCAGGTAGTTCAATGGCCAGAGGGTGGGCTTTGTACTCATCCCTACTCATTGTGTTCGCACTGCCTTAGCCACTAGACTTTCTTCCTTTAAAACTTGGGGAAAATAGCACCGGACGTGAGCCTGTTTTGAGAAAGTATGATGAGGTGTAAAGAAAGTTTTTTAATGTTTACAAACAGCTCCGCACCGCATCTAACACATCTATTAGTAATAGCTATCAGGATGTTGTTTAGTGTTAACCTCAAAAACCCATTTCTTAAGTGGTTTATAATTTCTATAGGGATGTATTCTCCATTTATATACTTTTGCATCACACATAGGGTCTAGTGTTGATCTGAAAATATAATATAGTATGGCATGATTTTAAGTGTGTAGTAGGATGACTGGTGACTATGGTCACACAAAGAAAGTATTATCTCAAGAAGGGACTTATGATGGGACTGGTGAGATGCTTCAGTTGGTAAAATGCTTCCTAGATAGGTATGAGGACCTGAATTCAACCCCAAAGCCAAGTGCTAAGGGTGTGTCCATAATGCCAGTGCTTGGGAAGTAGAGACAGGAGGCTTGCCAACTAGCCAGTCTAACCAATTTCGTGACCTTTAGGTTAGTAAGGATCCGTCCTTCAACAAGTGTAGGTACAGAGTGATGAGGAAGATACCCAACATGGACCTCTGGCTGCTAAATGCACATATGAGCACATACATGCACACACCGACACACGCAGACACACACACACACACACACACACACACACACACACACACAATGGGAGGGGAGAGGGCAGCGTTTGGTTCCAATATGCCTTTACAGTGATGTCTCTTGATGGACAGAGCAATTAAAGCCCTCAGTGTGTTTGTGCTAAATAATTCCTTAGGGATTAAAGTTTTAGACCCAATATGACAACTGAATTCCAGTTTGTTCAATAATGATGTCCTTCCTATGTGTCCAAACTTCCTTCTAGGTGGTAGGCTCAGCACAAAATGGTTCCTTCTTAGTGCTCATGCTCAGAAATGAACAAGGTTTTTTCTTTTACTAAACTTCAATCTTTTCAGATAATTAGAATACCAGAAAGAACATGATATTCAGTAGAACTGAATTTAAATTAAAGCCCTATCAATGAAGCAAATTGGAAATAAATTGCATGAAATTTACTTTGTAATAATGCCTTCAGCATTTAGTATTTCTTAGTTGCTAGTAGTTCCTTGTCTAGGCTTGGACCTGAAATGATATACATACAATAACAGTACACAGACTAAGCAGGTTGTATTTATATATTTATGCATATATATAAATACAGATAAATAAATGCAACTACAGGTAAAGAAAATGAAGCCATGAATTTGAGAGAGAGCAGGGGATGACATTTGTGGGGGGATTGGATGGAGGAAAGGGAAGGGGGAAATATAATTATATTTTAATTAAAAATTAAAAAATAAAGAAAAAGCCAAAGAAATGCTTTCAGATTAGTTAA